TCACAATAAATCCATTATTTATTTTAGACAGGTCTAAAGAAACATGATATGAAGAAAATGTAGTCTATTTCAGAATAGCATAATCTGAGTTGTACTTATGTTAGGTCCTGAACTGGCTATGCCATATGGCTGTGGGCTACACTAGTTCATTCATTTAGCAGACAAGATTTGCTTAGAATTCCGTGGCATTATTTTATAGTATGAAGAATACAATTGAACAAAGCTGAATAAAATAGAAAGGATATTTTCTCCAAACGATGAGGGAGTGCGCACATGCGGCTATTCTGTGTTGAGCGGTTAACAAAGAAATAGGTACTCCTATATGCTTAATTTAGAGTTATTAATGTAACTTTAGTTGTTATACAAACGTTGGGCTATATGTTTAGATTTTTAATACATTGTAAGGCTGCATGATGCAACTAATGATGATTTGAAAAAATAACTTCACCAGTCTGTCATTCACAATTTGAGAAGCACTTGATAATGCCTCGAATTTCCCAGCGGCATCCCCTTTGTGTGGCCATAATGCACACCCAAAAAAATGATTGCCTTTTGCAGCCGTTCTTCCTAAATGCTGCCCGCTCCGAAGCGCCGCTCATCTCACTCATATGGCTCTCCATCAAGTGATCTGGTCTTTCTCACAGGCTACAAGTGAAGACAGACACATCCGGGAAGCAACTGCGCGCGTCCTTATCCAATTCTGAGGTGCATATTGAAGATATTGGAAGAACTGTCCACATTTACTTTGTGTCAGCCAACAAGATGAGTAGGTCTAATGAACAGCAAAAGCACTAGCCTATGTCAATCTACTATCCCCCATAGTACAAAAGTTGACCTATTCTGTGCGAGAAATACATATTCTAAACATAGTCTGGGACAGTTGTGGGATGCAATAATCCCAAATTAATACAACCACTAGCATCCCAAAAACGTTTTTACGCAATGAGGCTGACGCAACAGATCAGAACGTTTAGCTTAAAATGTTGATAAACGATTAGGCTATTTCTTCACATTCTAAGCGCAGCTGTGATGAGGTGATGTCGAAGGAGTCAGCCGCAGAAGGGTAAATCACAGAATAACAGGCTTTATTCCGCAAATACAGTGTTACGCAGAAATGCATCAATCACTCTAGTGCGCAAAAACAGGCACACTGGAAAGTACAAGGCACACAGGGAAATATCCCGGCGACACATAATATATGGAACTCTACCGAGCTTAGCTATACTCTACAATAAACAATCACACACAAAGACAAGGGGGCAGAGGGAACACTTATACAGGTACTGATGAGGGGATATGAACCAGGTGTGTGTAATAAACAAGACAAAACAAATGGAATGATGAAATGAGGAGCGGCAGGGGCTAGAAGGCCGGTGACGAACGCCGAAGCCTGCCCGAACAAGGAGAGGTGGCAGCTTCGGAGGAAGTCGTGAGAGCAGCAATGCGCACATGGCAGTAGGCTTTAAGCGCAAATGTTCCATTAGCGGGAAAACACCATTATCAAAAGTGACCACAAATGCAATTACAGTGAGGGAAAAAAGTATTTGATCCCCTGCTGATTTTGTACGTTTGCCCACTGACAGACATGATCAGTCTATAATTTTAATGGTAGGTTTATTTGAACAGTGAGAGACAGAATAACAACAAAATCCAGAAAAACGCATGTCAAAAATGTTATTAAAATGCAAATCAATTTATGAGGGAAATAAGTATTTGACCCCCTCTCAATCAGAAAGATTTCTGGCTCCCAGGTGTCTTTTATACAGGTAACGAGCTGAGATTAGGAGCACACTCTTAAAGGGAGTGCTCCTAATCTCAGCTTGTTACCTGTATAAAATACACCTGTCCACAGAAGCAATCAATCAATCAGATTCCAAAGAGCACTCCAAGGATGTCAGGGACAGGATTGTAGACCTACACAAGGCTGGAATGGGCTAAAAGACCATCGCCAAGCAGCTTGGTGAGAAGGTGACAACAGTTGGTGCGATTATTCGCAAATGGAAGAAACACAATAACAGTCAGTCAATCTCCCTCGGCCTGGGGCTCCATGCAAGATCTCACCTCGTGGAGTTGCAATGATCATGAGAACGGTGAGGAATCAGCCCAGAACTACACGGGAGGATCTTGTCAATGATCTCAAGGCAACTGGGACCATAGTCACCAAGAAAACAATTGGCAACACACTACGCCGTGAAGGACTGAAATCCTGCAGCGCCCGCAAGGTCCCCCTGCTCAATAAAGCACATATACAGGCCCGTCTGAAGTTTGCCAATGAACATCTGAATGATTCAGAGGAGAACCGGGTGAAAGTGTTGTGGTCAGATGAGACCAAAATCGAGCTCTTTGGCATCAACTCAACTCGCCGTGTTTGGAGGAGGAGGAATGCTGCCTATAACCCCAAGAACACCATCCCCACCGTCAAACATGAAGGTGGAAACATTATGCTTTGGGGGTGTTTTTCTGCTAATATATTTTATATTTGAGATTCTTCAAAGTAGCCACCCTTAGCCTTGATGACAGCTTTGCACACTCTTGGCATTCTCTCAACCAGCTTCACCTGGAAAGCTTTTCCAACAGTCTTGAAGGAGTTCCCACATATGCTTAGCACTTGTTGGCTGCTTTTCCTTCACTCAATATATTTTGATTTGTTAAACACTTTTTTGGTTACTACATGATTCCATGTGTTATTTCATAGTTTTGATGTCTTCACTATTATTCTACAATGTAGAAAATAGTGAAAATAAAGAAAAACCCTTGAATGAGTAGGTGTGCCCAAACCTTTGACTGGTACTGTAAGTATTCACACCCCTGAGTCAATACTTTGTAGAAGCACCTTTGTTCTGAAGCCATTCCAGTGTTGCTTTGGCTGTATGATTGGGGTTAATGTCCTGTTGGAACATAAATCTTTGCCCCAGTCTCAGGTCGTTTGCACTCTGAAGCAGGTTCCTTATCAAGGATTTGCCTGTATTTGGCTCCATTCAATGTTTCCTCCATCCTTACCACTCTCCCAGTCCCTGCCGCTGAAAAGCATCCTCATAGCATGATGCTGCCACCACCATGCTTCACGGTAGGGATGGTGTTCGACGGGTGGTGAGCTATGCCTGGTTTTCTCCAGACAGCGCTTTGCATTCAGGCCAAAGAGTTACATTTTTGTCTCATCAGACCACATCATCTTTTGCCTTATGATCTCAGAGTCTTTCACATGCATCTTTGCAAACTCCAGGCATGATGTCATGTGCCTTTTTCTCAGAAGTGGCTTCCGTCTGGCCACTCTCCCATAAAGCCCAGATTGGTGAAGTGCTGTAGAGACTGTTGTCCTTCTGGCAGGTTCTCCCATCTCAGCCATGGAACTCTGTAGTTCTGTCTGAGTGGTCATTGCGTTCTTGGTCACCTCCCTGACCAAGGTCCTTCTTGCTCGGTTGCTCAGTTTTGTTGGATGGCCAGCTCTAGGCAGAGTCTGGGTAGTTCCATATTTTTTCAATTTCCAGATGATGGAGACCACTGTGCTCTTGGAAACTTTCAACACTCTAGAAATTGTTTTATACCCTTCCCCAGATATATACTGTACCTCATCACAATTTTATCTCAGAGATTTAAGGACAGTTCCTTGGACTTCATGGTATAGTTTCTGCTCTGACATGCACTGTCAACTGTGGGACCTTATATATACAGGTGTGTTTCTTTCAAAATCATGTCCAAACAATTGAACCTAGTTGTAGTGACATCTCAAGGATGATCAAAGAAAATTGGATGCACCTGAGCTCAATTTAGAGTGTCATAGCAAAGGGGTGTGAATACTTATGTAAATTTGATATTTCTGTATTTCATTTTCAATACATTTGCTAAAAATTTTAAAAACATGTTTTCACTGTCATTATGGGGTATTGTGTGCAGATGGGTGAGAAAAACAAATCAATTGAATCCATTTTGAATTCAGGCTGTAACCCAACAAAATGTGGAATAAGTCAAGGGGTATGAATACTTTCTGAAGGCACTGTATATAATGTGTTCTAATTCGATTTCTGTGTTCACTGGAAACTGTGAGCAACATAATTCACAAATCCTTCTAAACAACCTCCCCATATTAAAACAACATAATTCAAAAAGTTAAATCTTAACATTATTATTTACAAGTTACCTTTGTTCCCAGAACATAACCATATTACAGTTAAACAATGAGGAAAAAGGAAAAACGATTTGCTCCAGTTCAAACTAAACACATAGAGTGTCCTAACATTTCTGTACATTCACACACACAGGGCAGCTGTTGTGTGGTAAAACTCAACTAAAACTCCATGTTGAGCGTTGATATCGCGTGGTAAGGCTGTCTGCATTCAACAGTCCACAAAATGTCATGACACCCACTCCTGTCTCCCTCATGACAGAAACCACAGTAGAATTGGCATCATTTAAGTCCAGTAGTCATAATTATTCTGTGTTAAAATACAGTATAACCCCATACCATTATTATTCCCTCTAACAGATAAATCTACATTTACTTCCATACATTCTATGACATAAATGCATTATTTTGATTAAGACATTCTGATTTCAAGCAGCAGGTCAACGATATAGATTAAAGTCGTTTCTAATGCGCTCTGAGAATAAAACGTGCTTGGCACCTCAGATCTGTAAACAAGTTATAATAATAAACAGCTTCCTAACAACACCGCTCAACATTCATGTAAGAATCCTTTAAAAGTAAAGACTTGAGTGCAGAGAGTAGTTAGAGCCAATTCCTCTTAAACCATGACAGAAACACTCATCAGAACAATATGGAAATTCAACAGGCACTCAATAAGTACCAGGAATTAGAAAAGTCCAATCAGTAAAAAAATAAAATCTTTACTGTACAGTGATCAGAACAGACTACTTTGGCGGGCCAAATAAAATCACTTGTGGACCGGTTTTGGCACACAGGCACCCAGTTGCAGACCCCTGGCATAGGCCCTATGAGTTAGGGTTTTGGTCTTACCCTGTATCACCCTGTGTCCTTACAGATAGATGACGCGTTCCTTGGTTGGTTTGCTTGCTATGTCTTTGGGGAAGGGTGGAGGATGAGGAGGTTCGGGTGGAGGGAAGTGCCTCCTCATGCTGCTGCTGGACAACAGGGTCTGGGTCTGGGAGGGCTTGGCATTGGACAGAGGATCTGGAGGACTAAAGAAACGATCTGAGGAGGGATAACAACGTAGGGTTAACTTACTCATCGTGTGTCCGTGCGTGCGTGTGTGCGTCATGTTAATCCTGAGACGTTAAAACAAATCTCCAGTCATGGTAAAAATCTTACCTGATTGGTAGCTCCTGTGAGGGCTCACAGTCCTCTTCCCTCTCAGACTCCCGCACTCTTTTCCTGTCACTCTGATCGGCACCACCTGAGACATGTCTATAGATGCTGCAGGAGGAAAGACAACTAAAGAGACATACTCACTTCCTAACAGATAATAGAATTTAGAGTGTCATAGCAAAGGGGTGTGAAGATCTTGTGACTGACATCCTGATCCCACCAGTGGCGGTCGGTGCATATTTATATAACAGCATATTGGATGACTCTCATTCATATCCCATTCACCCAGCTCAATGTAACATTGATAGGTTTAGGCTACTACATGATACTTCAATTTTCCCTATATCAATGAGGTTGCTACAACCTAGCCTATGAATGAAAGTTTACAACGTTGGTGCACACAGGTCGAGAGAAAGATTTGAGGTGACAGACAGTGACGCATTCAATACCGTCTTGCACAATCTTGCCTGCATCTAGCTGATCTAGGGTGTAATCTTTAGTCCAACAGTTGCAAACAAGAGTTTCTATTGGACAAATTCAGGTATGTTTATCCCTGTTTGGTTCCGTTTAAGAAACGTTTTTCAACAGAATCGGCGGAATGAATACATCCCTGATCACACGCAAACAGTTCACTTTCATAGCCATATACAAACAGCTCGATGTAGTCCTTATCGCATCTACGTGCTCTCCTCCTCTCACCTTTTCCCTTCGCTTGTGGACTTCAATGCACAACACATCAGCAGTCTGTGACCAGGGGGAAATGTCCAAGCTAATCCTTCATATCATATCCAATACACACAGCCTACATCGTTGTCACCATATTAGTTAAAGTAACGTCATAGTCAACATAGCTAATAGAACTAATGCGTTAGTAAACCCGCTACAATCATGCAGTACAGTGTACAGTCAGTAAGCAGTTACACAGGCGGGCCCCGGTGGCAATACATTTGTAAAACCAAAAGCTTACCTTGACTTGGAAGAGTTCCAGTGTTGGATAGTCATAGCCAGCTAGCTAACATAGCATCCCTCTGTTTGAGCAGGCTAAACTAGCTAGCTGCATTTGCTACCTAAGTACAGTACTTTCCCTCTCTTGCTCCTCCTACATTTTTAAAGAAATTAATTTGTTCAAACTGTTCAACTATTGTCTTTCTCTGAGTCAACTACTCACCTAATTGTATGCACTGCAGTGCTAGCTAGCTGTAGCTTATGCTTTCAGTACTAGATTAATTCTCTGATCCTTTGATTGGGTGGACAACATGTCAGTTCATGCTGCAAGGGCTCTGATAGGTTGGAGGATGTCCTCCGGAAGTTGTCATAATTACTGTGTAACAGTGGAGGCTGCCTCATAATAATGGCTGGAACGGAGCAAATGGAATGGCATCAAACACATGGAAAGGATACCATTCCACTAATTCCGCTTCAGCCATTACCATGAGCCCGTCCTCCCCAATTAAGGTGACACCAACCTCCTGTGCTGTGTAAGTCTATGGAAGGGGGTGAGAACCATGAGGTTTTGTATTGAAGTCAATGTACCCAGACGAGGACAGCAGCTAGCTGTCCTCCAGCTACACCATGGTGCTACCCTACAGAGTGCTGTTGAGGCTACTGTAGACCTTCATTGCAAAACAGTGTGTTTTAATCAATTATTTGGTGACGTGAATATATTTAGTATAGGATAACTTTAATGTTTCACTAATTTTATGAAATTCACTGAGGAGGATGGTCTCCACTGGATCCCACTCAGCCTGATGAAGAACCTTTGTGTTCAATACATTGCAAATAAAAACTACAGGAGCATCTAACCATCCAGTGTGTGGGTAGTTTTCTTATACGATCATTTCTACCATGTATGTAAATTAAGTGTTCTGACCTGCACTATGCATGCACTGGTGCGATCCCTTTTTTCTGCTCTTCTTGTTGCCCTTGCTGCTAAGGGCAGCCAGCTTGGTGGGGATCTGCTGCTGCACGGCCCCTGGCTTGTGGACCACCTGGTTGGTGGTGCTGATCAGGTGAATGGGAACCTCCACTTTAGGGGGCACAGGGCTGATGCTCTCCCTACAAAGGGGCACCTACAATACAATACGATAATGTAAAGTTATGAATACTGTAACATTGTCCCCAGGCTATTGCGCACAGCACATTTAAACCTGGTACATCAACGATTCAAAGTTGGCCTTAGTGGGAGTGACCATACAATGTAAAGTATTTGTCATCATTACATTTTTGCGAATCACACGAGTGCGAGGCGTGGCTCTGTGCTTGTTCTGCGCTAGCGTATGGGGGAGGATTAGGGGGAAGGGGTTGTGGGTAGACGTGGGCGGTATACCGTTTATACCGTGGATTTTCAATACCGTTAGGGGAACCCCCGCCTCGTGGGGGCTGCGTGCTACGCCACTGCTTATAACTAACTATATCTGTAACTATAAGAAATCTAAGATGTGTCAAATAAATTACAGTGCATTCAGAAAGTATTCACATCCCCTGACTTTTTCCACGTTGTTGTGTTACAGTCTGGTTGAGATTGTGTGTCACTGGCCTACACACAACACCCCATAATGTCAAAGTAGAATTATATTTTTACACATTTGTACAAATTAATAAAAATGGAAAAGCTGAAATGTCTTGAGTCAATAAGTATTCAACCCCTTTGTTATGGCAAGCCTAAATAAGTTCAGGAGGAAACATTTGCTTAACAAGTCACATAATAAGTTGCATGGACTCACTCTGTGAGCAATAATAGTGTTTAACATGATATTTGAATGACTACCTCATCTCTGTACACCACATATACAATTACCTGTAAAGTCCCTCAGTCGAGGAGTGAATTTCAAACACAGATTCAACCAACAAGACCAGGTATGTTTTCCAATACCTCGCAAAGAAGGGCATGGTGAAGTTATTATTGGATTGTGTATCAATACACCCAGTCACTACAAAGATACAGTCATCCTTCATAACTCAGTTGCTGGAGAGGAAGGAAACCGCTCAGGGATTTTACCATGCGGCCAATTCTGACTTTAAAAATGTTAGAGAGTTTAATGGATGTGATAGGAGAAAACGGAGGATGGATCAATCAACAATACTAACCTAAATATTCCAAAACATGCATCCTGTTTGCAATAGGGCATCAAAGTAAAACTGCAAAAAAAGTGGCTAAGAAATGTACTTTGTCCTGAATTGTCCATATTTTCAAGCATGGTGGTGGCTGCATCATGTTATGGGTATGCTTTTTATTGGCACGGACTGGGGAGTTTTTCAGGATAAAAAAAATTAATGTAATGGCAAAATCCTAGAGGAAATAAAGAAATAATGGCACAAGCAAAATCCTAGAAAAAACCTGGTTCAGTCTGCTTTCCACCAGACACTGGGAGATTAATTAACCTTTCAGCAGGACAATAACCTAAAGCACAAGACCAAATCTACACTAGAGTTGCTTACCAAGAAGACAGTGAATGTTCCTGAGTGGCCGAGTTACAGTTTTGACTTAAATCTACTTGAAAATCTAAAATGGCAAGACATTAAAATGTTTGTCTAGCAATGATCAACAAACAATTTGAGCTTGAAGAATTTTGAAAAGAATAATGGGCAAATGTTGCACAATTCAGGTGTGGTAAGCTCTTAGAGACTTACCAAGAAAGACTCACAGCTGTAATCGCTGCCAAAGGTGCTTCTAGAAAGTATTGACTCAGAGGTGTGAATACTTATGTAAATTAGATATTTCTGTATTTCATTTTCAATAAATGTGCAAACATTTCTAAAAACATGGTTTTCACTTTGACATTATGGGGTTTTGTGTGTAGATGGGTGAGATCTTTTTTTTATTTAATCCATTTTGAATTCAGGCTGTAACACAACAAAAAGTGGAATAAGCCAAGGGGTTTGAATACTTTCTGAAGGCACTCCAGCTATGCATTTGGTTTGCTAACTTGCTAGCTAAGTGGCTAGATGTCAAGATCAAGCTTCTTGGTTACAGCAGAAGCATTCAATCTCCTCCTGGATCAAGATCCCTGCTGCCTAAATTGTTTCGTGCATCAATATTATTATTTATTTTTGTATATATAATTTTTTGAAATAATGTCCCTTGTGTGCACTTCCGGTAATACCGTATACAGAAACTGTATGAAAATCTGAATACCGGCCAACCTTGTCAGAGATGATTGGTTGGTAGATTAAGCCAATGCTTATGCGCCGGGAGTGTCTCCTGGTCTTTCTGTATTGGCTAACGAAGGCCAAGTTTGATGCTTTGGTCCACCAGACTCTTTATTTGGGCGGAAGCCTCTGGGAACATTATGAATACTGTGAACTACTGGGATTGAACTCGTAAGAGTGTTCTGATAGGGAACTTTGTCACTTTTAATGGAAATGCATTTTGTGAGGTCAGCACACAAAATACACAATATGAATACACTATAGTACAATAAATTGAATACAAAAACCCTGGAAGGTGAACACACATATTCACATAGTCCTGTGGATAGTGTTGCAAAGTACCGGTAACTTTGCCAAAATTCCCAAGTTTTACAGAAATCTCCTACTTCTCATATCTCCTATTTCCTACTTATTCCCTCCTGATTCTGGGAATCTTATAACCGGGATTTCTAGAAAACCTAGGAATTTGGGGAAAGTTACTGGAATTTTTCAACTCTATCTGTGGTTGGTATACTGTCCTTCCATGTAGTCTAGCCCATGTTATGTCCTAGCTATGTCTCACCTCTGGGGGCTGCTCCAGGAAGAAAGCTGTGGCTAGAGAGGGGCTGGGTTGGACGTGGACCTTGGAGGTCTGGATGGGGGTCACGTCACCTCCCGTGGTCCAACCACCCATCAGGTCCCCTCGTAACGACTGGGAAAGGTCCCCTCGGAAGGAGGCAGAGTGGGGGAGGTTCCCTCTGAACGACTGGGAGTGGGGGAGAGGAGAAGAAGAGAATGACCAGATTACCTAAACGTCCCATACATCAATATCTATAAATGCATAATTAACAGCCCTCTCACTATTGGTCCTCAGTCCTTAACGACCACACCACCTCCTCACCTGCTGAGTGTTGAAGTTAAAACTCCCAGGGTTGGCAATGGTCTTGTTCTTCTTCAACTTCATCTGTATATCCAGGCGTTCCTTCTGTTTCTCCACAGTCCTTGTAGACTCCCTCAGCCTCTCCAGATCCTGTTGGTACGGTACATCACATGAACAATGAAAAAAGGCCAGCAGCACTCACTTGGATAAAATTGCCAATTGAAGATTTGTTTTAATTTATTTTTAACTCTTAGACCACTTAACTTTTTATTTTTTTAAACATTTGGCCATTTAGCAGACACTCTTATCCAGAGCAACTTATAGTAAGACCACAATTGTTATATTGTAACATTGTATAATGTAACAAAACGAAGCAGCAACCTGTTGGTAGATTTCTCTCCATCTCTCCAGCTCCCCCCTCTCCTCTGCTAGCTTCTCCTCCAGTCTCCTACACTCCTCCTCTCTCTGTCTTAGCTGCGCCTCCAGGACCTCCGCCTGCAGCTGGTGGCGCTCCTGCTCCTTCTCCCAGTGAGCCTGCGGATGAGATGGATGAGATAGAGGGAAATGAGAGAAGTGAGATGAGTTTCTGCTCGAACAACTAGAAAACCAGGCGAGGAAGGTTCCTAACTAATCAGCGATCAATCAAGTACAAGGGAGAAGTAAAAACCCTGCAGACACTCGGCCCTCCATGGAACGAGTTTGACACCTGTGAGACAGAGAGATATCATAGATAAACACAATAGATAGTTCAATTAATAGATAGAGGATTAATCGAGATCGATAGATCAATAAAAAGAAAAAGACACAGGAAATTGCAAGTACTTGTGCACAGAGACACGCAACATTCATCCAGCAGGTGTAACCCTATAACAAGATTGTATGTATACATACAGTGGGGGAAAAAAGTATTTAGTCAGCCACCAATTGTGCAAGTTCTCCCACTTAAAAAGATGAGAGGCCTGTAATTTTCATCATAGGTACACGTCAACTATGACAGACAAAATGAGAAGAAAAAAAATCCAGAAAATCACATTGTAGGATTTTTTATGAATTTATTTGCAAATTATGGTGGAAAATAAGTATTTGGTCAATAACAAAAGTTTCTCAATACTTTGTTATATACCCTTTGTTGGCAATGACACAGGTCAAACGTTTTCTGTAAGTCTTCACAAGGTTTTCACACACTGTTGCTGGTATTTTGGCCCATTCCTCCATGCAGATCTCCTCTAGAGCAGTGATGTTTTGGGGCTGTCGCTGGGCAACAGACTTTCAACTCCCTCCAAAGATTTTCTATGGGGTTGAGATCTGGAGACTGGCTAGGCCACTCCAGGACCTTGAAATGCTTCTTACGAAGCCACTCCTTCGTTGCCCGGGCGGTGTGTTTGGGATCATTGTCATGCTGAAAGACCCAGCCACGTTTCATCTTCAATGCCCTTGCTGATGGAAGGAGGTTTTCACTCAAAATCTCACGATACATGGCCCCATTCATTCTTTCCTTTACACGGATCAGTCGTCCTGGTCCCTTTGCAGAAAAACAGCCCCAAAGCATGATGTTTCCACCCCCATGCTTCACAGTAGGTATGGTGTTCTTTGGATGCAACTCAGCATTCTTTGTCCTCCAAACACGACGAGTTGAGTTTACCAAAAAGTTACATTTTGGTCATCCAAATGCACTCTAGCAAACTTCACACGGGCCTGGACATGTACTGGCTTAAGCAGGGGGACACGTCTGGCACTGCAGGATTTGAGTCCCTGGCGGCGTAGTGTGTTACTGATGGTAGGCTTTGTTACTTTGGTCCCAGCTCTCTGCAGGTCATTCACTAGGTCCCCCCGTGTGGTTCTGGGATTTTTGCTCACCGTTCTTGTGATCATTTTGACCCCACGGGGTGATATCTTGCGTGGAGCCCCAGATCGAAGGAGATTTTTTTTCCTCAATTTGTCCGTCATAGTTGACGTGTACCTATGATGAAAATTACAGGCCTCTCTCATCTTTTTAAGTGGGAGAACTTGCACAATTGGTGGCTGACTAAATACTTTTTCCCCCCACTGTATACAACATGTGGCTATATTTTGATAAAAGCTTTAAGACGTAGTAACTGATACAGTGTCTGCAGTTTAAAGCTCTATTCTAGCTACCTGTTCCTGATGGTGTCTGCAGCTTGTGGAAGTTGGCCATCTCCTCTCTCCGTTTCTCTACCTTTGGTTCTCTACCTTTGTTAAGTACCTGTTCCTGTAGGCCATCTCCTCTCTCTGTTTCTCTAATATAAACTATTTTCTACCTCAGGGTTTTAAACTGTTCTAGTACCTGTTCTTGTCTGTGCTGTCTGCAGCTTGTGGAAGTTAGCCATCTCCTCTCTCCATTTCTCTAATGTAATAAACTGTGTTCTAGTTCAATACCTGTTCTTGTCTATGCTGTGTCTGCAGCGTATGGAAGTTAGCCATCTCCTCTCTCTGTTTCTCCATGTTACGTTGTTTCTCCTGCTCCAGGAGCACGTTGCCACGAGGACGGCCAGGATGCTCGCGCTCTGACAGCAAGGCACGCTGCAACTCAATGTGGCTGTCCTGCTGGGAGACGATGGCCTACGGGGAATGGCAGGGAACAAACTTAACACCAGGAGGCAGAGGACAAACTTCAGACCAGGGATGGGCAGTGGACACACTTAACCTATCTAATGGTAAGATAAGACAGGTCAAACCTATCAACTGTCTCTATAGAATGTAAAGAATAGATACAGTACGTCTTACCAGCAGACTGTAGAGTTTTTGTGAGAGCAGCAGCACCCTGTCAAAGAACTGGGGAGAGAGAGACAGAAATAAGGTTGTAGCAGCTTTCGAAAAGCCGTGGGAAAACCAAATGCAAGATTTGAGATGCACATCCAAAATCCAATCGAAAACCCAAGAATCCAAACGAAAACGTATTTATTTTCATAGAATCCAATATAATAAGTGCAAGGTAAACAAAGGTTCCAATATTCCAGGTAAACAAATTAGGTCAAGGTAAAACGTGTGGTTAAAAAAAATAGATATCACGGTCTCACAAACATTTGCTTTACTTCCTGTTTCTATATACCCAATATGTGGCTATCTGGGCAGGCCCACCCATACTTACAACTAATTGAGGATAGAGGGAGTAATTGGCCTATTATAATTCAAATAATAGAACCATAATAAGAAATCACGTTACCAAATTACTGCATAAACCATATAGAGTGCTGTGAAAAAGAATTTGCCCCCTTGTTGATTTTCTCTATTTTTGACACGGAATGTTATCAGATCTTCTACCAAAACCTAATGTTGGATAACGGGAACCTGAGTGAACAAATAACACAACATTTTGATAAAGTTATGCAACACCCAATGCCCCTGTGTGAAAAAGTAATTGCCCCCTTACACTCATTAACTGGTTGTGCCACCTTTAGCTGCAATGACTGCAACCAAACACTTCCTAGAGTTGTTATCATTCTCACATCGCTGTGGAGGAATTTTGGCCGACTCTTCCATGCAGAACTCCTTTAACTTCGAGGTATTTGTGGGTTCTCGAGCATGAACTGCTCATTTCAGGTCCTGCCACAACATCTCAATCAGGTTTAGGTCTGGACTTTGACTAGGCCATTCCAAAACTTTACATTTGTAGATTTTCAGCCATTCTGATGTAGACTTGCTTGTGTGTTTTGGATCATTGTCTTGCTGCATGACCCAGCTACGCTTCAGCTCACAGATGGATAGCCTGACATTCTCCTTTAGAATTCTCTAATACAGGCCTCCCGAGTGGCGCAGCGGTCTAAGGCGGCACTACAGACCCGGGTTCAATCCCAGGCTGTGTCACAACCGGCCGTGACCGGGAGTCCCATAGAGCGGCGCACAATTGGCCCAGCGTCGTCCGGGTTAGGGGAGGGTTTGGCCGGGGGGGCTTAACTTGGCTCATCACGCTCTAGCGACTCCTTGTGGCGGGCCGGGCGCCTGCAGGCTGACCTCGATCATCAGTTGAACATTGGTGCTGCTGGGTTCCGGGTTAAGCGGGCGGGTGTTAAGAAGCACTGTTTGGCGGGTCATGTTTCGGAGGACGCAGCGATGAGACAAGATCGACATTGGGGAGAAAAAGGGGGGTAAATTACGAAAATAATAAAAATAAATAAATCTTCATCTCTAATACAGAGCAGAATGCATGGTTCCTTCAATGATGGCAATTCGTCCAGGTCCCGAGGCAGCAAAGCCTCCCCAAACCATCACACTACCACCACCATGCTTGACAAACGGTCAAGCATGGTGGTGGTAGTGTGATGGTTTGGGGATGCTTTGCTGCCTCGGGACCTGGACGACTTGCCATCACTGAAGGAACCATGAATCCTGCTCTGTACCAGATAATTCTAAAGCAAATGTCAGGCTATCCGTCTGTGAGCTGAATCTGAAGTGCAGCTGGGTCATGCAGCAAGACAATGATCCAAAACACACAAGCAAGTCCACATCCGAATGGCTGAAAAGCAACACATTTCAAGTTATGGAATGGCCTAGTCAAAGTCCAGACCTAAACCTGATTGAGATGTTGTGGCAGAACCTGAAACGAGCAGTTCATGCTCGAAAACCAACAAATGTTATGTCGCTAAGTTAAAGCAGTTCTGCATGGAAGAGTGGGCCAAAATTTCTCCACAGCGATGTGAGAGACTGTTCAACAACTCTAGGAAGCGTTTGGTTGCAGTCATTGCAGCTAAAGATGGCACAACCAGTTAATGAGTGTAAGGGGGCATTTACTTTTTAACACAGGGGCTTTGGTGTTGCATAACTTTGTTTATGAAATAACTATTTTTTAATCATTTTTTTCATTCAGGTTCCCTTTATTTGATATTAGGTTTTGGTTGAAGATCTGATAACATTCAGTGTAAAAAAAAAAGCAATAATAGAGAAAATCAGAAAGGGGGTAAATACTTTTTCACAGCATTGTAAATAAATTAAATGATCCTTAAATATATATATTATCTAATAGACAAATATTTGCATAACTAATACAATAGAAAACTGTCTCCAACAGGTTGGCACAATAAAAAAAAAGTGATATGTTCTAGCAACACTTACCTCAGCTTCAGGAAAGGATGGATTTGGGCATGGAGAACTCCAGTATGATGCTGGTGCTGGTGACTCATCTACCTGTAATCACAATACCATGAATCAGTCAAACTAAACCAGTTAATACCGCCCTCCCTCTCTCAGGAGAGAACAAGAGCACACTTGTAGGAGGGAACAAGTGCCCACTTGGAAGAGAAAGGGAGAGAATGGAACAGCCAGTAACTCACCGACAGTTCCAGACTCTCTGATTGGTCAAGGTCCTGTAGCTGGGGGTCAGAGTTTGAATGCTGACCTCTGTCTAGAGGTCTTCCTGCCACACTGTCTAGCTGTTCTCCCGCCTGTATATTACCATCTGGAAAACATGAATATGAACAGTGGTATAATAAAGGAAAGGTAAAGGGGGATACCTAGTCAGTTGTACAACTGAATGCATTCAACTGAAATGTGTCTTCTGCATTTAACCCAACCCCTCTGAATCAGAGAGGTGCGGGCGTCGATCCAGCAACCATAGTCCATCTTTATGAGTGGTAGACTTACTCTTCACAGGGGTTATGGGATTGCAGACATAGCCCCCACATGTTTCGGCTCTCCTGAGTGCCACCAGGTTCCACAGCCCCCCAAGGCCTAGCCCCCCTGGACGGAGCCGTAGCACTTCTGGCCTCAAACTGTATCCCCCTGATCCCAGGCTGTCCTTTGGATCTCTCACAGTTACACCGGACAGGAGAAGGTTCTGCAGATTCTCCACTGAAGAGAGAAGAAGAAACGAAAAGCTGATTCCCTAACTGACAAGCTGACATTGGATTCTCATGGTGGGTCAATAAGTATTTATAACAGATTTACTAAAGAAAATGGTTAAGTTAACTACTATCAGATCCTATCAGACCTAGCAGGAGTACCAAGGCCAGCCTATCAGAGGTGAAGGTGGAGCTATTACAATATTGCTTTAACCTATCAAATCCTCACAGATCTCCACAATTGCTTAGGGCATAGGGGCGGATTTGTCATTAATTCCTACCCTCAGTGATGGCCCCCTTGAGCAGTGTCTCCCCCTGCTGGAGGTCTAGGGCGTCACTGCGGAGCAGCAGACGAGAGTGGTTCACTACATCCTCCAGCCCTGGTACAGCCTCCGCCATGTCAGCAAACATATGCAGCTTCTCTGTCAGGCTCTGCATGATCTGGACATCCTTCATACACAGACTCCCTGGAGACACACACAGATTCTATGGTCAGAAAAATACACAGACCTACAGATGCTCTGGACACACACACATTCCATATGACCTGACAATGGTAGTTGAGGGCATTTGGACAGCTGTTATTGAGAACATTTTGAAGCGCTCAGGTAGACCTGGTATGGGTAGAGTCTTTTACCTTGGAAGTCTCTGAGACTGGTTTAGCCTGGCCTCCTACTGTTCACTGTACAGCTGCTCCTCTATCGTGTGCGTGGCAAAATAGCTCTATTTTCATGTCATCCAACAAATGTAAAAGCCTGGACTTTGCTAACTTGCATTGGCACTTGGATTGGAACTGGTGGTTTGGTCAGATGACATGAACATAGACCTCTTCGGTCATGCACACCAGTGGTGGGTTTGGCGTCAAAATAAGGATGCAGAAAAGAACCTCATACCTACTGTAAGATATGGTGGTGGATCTTTTGATGTTATGGGGCTATTTTGCTTCCACTTTTCCTGGGGCCCTTGTTAAAGACATGCTCCGGTACTTTGTCGACTAGTAAGTATTTTTTAAACCTCCCGCGTTGGGCTGGATGTGTCAATGTGTAGTTCATACATGCATCATCTATGAGCAGAATTACTGTCTTACCTCAATTAGTCACGAAATCCCAAGTTTGAAAGCGACTGTTTTCTGGAAGCTGTGTGGCGCCATTTTCCCTACATTTACCCTCACGTGGACCAGTCCCCTTAGCAATTAGAGTTGCAGCCAATGAGCTTCAGCCCCTCGCTATTTGAGTGACAGCTCAAGATGCACACACAGTAGAGCGAGAGAGAGCAATGATGCACATACGGTGAGCTCCAAAAGTATTGGGACAGTGACATTTTTTGTTGTTGTTTTGGCTCTGTACTCCAGCACTTTGGATTTGAAATGATACAATGAGGTTAAAAGTGCAGACTGTCAGCTTTAATTTGATGGGATTCTTATCTATATCGGGTGAACCGTTTAGAAATTACAGCATTTTTTGTACATAGTCCCCCCATTTTAGGGGACCAAAAGTATCGGAACAAATTCCTGTGTATTAAAGTAATACAAAGTTTAGTATTTGGTCCCATATTTCTAGCACGCAATGACTAGATCAAGCTTGTGACTCTACACATTTGTTGGATGCATTTGCTGTTTGTTTTGGTTGCGTTTCAGATTATGCCCAATAGAAATGAATGATTCATAATGTATTGTGTCATTTCAGTCTTTGTTATTGTAAATTGATATCCTTCATCTGCGCTTACGGACTGCCCAACCACAGGTTTTCAATGGGGTTCAAGTCTGTAGACTGAGATGGCCATTGCAAAATGTTGATTTTGTGGTCAATTAACCAATTCTTTGTGGATTTAGATGTGTGCTTGGGGTTATTGTCTTGCTGGAAGATCCACTTGCGGCCAAGTTTCAGCCTTGTATTACATTTACATATTAGTCATTTAGCAGACGCTCTTATCCAGAGCGACTTACATGAACTACACATTGACACATCTAGCCCAATGCGAGAGGTTTAAAAAATACTTACTAGTCGCCAAAGGCTCCCGAGTGGCACAGTGGTCTAAGGCACTGCATCTCAGTGCTTGAGGCGTCACTACAGACCCCCTGGTTCGATTCCAGGCTGTATCACAACCGGCCGTGATTGGGAGTCCCATAGGGCGGCGCACAATTGGCCCAGCGTCGTCCGGGTTTGGCCGGTGTAGGCCGTCATTGTAAATAAGAATTTGTTCTTAACTGACTTTCCTAGTTAAATAAAGGTAAAATAAAATTAAAATAAATCAAGGATCTTGATAGATTCTGTATGGAAGAATGGTCTAAGAACCCTCCCAATGTGTTCTCCAATCTCATAAACATTTTAGAAAAGAGGCTCAGTGCCTTTATACTCGCAAAGTGAAAGGTATTGAAAACAAGGGTGCCAATCATTTTGACCCCAATCTTTTTGAGAGAAGAAATATTTGACAAAATGTGGGCATACAATATAGCCAAGTATGTATATTATTTATTTTATACAGTGTTTTTGCTAATCTTTATCAAGGGTGCCAAAACTTTTGGATCTGACTGTATTTCTTTTAAATCACCTTTCAGCCATCCGTTGGCCGCCCGCCAGTTGATGGTCTCCTCATGGAGCAGGGTTCTGGACCCCTCTGCCAGGTCCTCTCTCCTGAACACCCTTCCGTCCTTCAGCCTGCCCTGAGAATGAGGTTCCAACCTGCTGCCTATGTCTCTCAGCCTAGAGGCCCTCTCATGGTCATGGACCTGAGAGTCCACAGCAGAGATGGTCTCTCTGATCAGAACCAGGGCTTGGGCCAGGGCACCGTGCTCCTCACTATCGACTGATGGGAGAAGATGGGAGGAGAGTAGAGGATTGGGTTTGGGTTAATTCCATTTCAATTCAGTCAATTCAGGAAGTAAAATCAAATTCCATTTGTGAACAGCGTGGTTATCAAGCATGGCTGGGCCTGGGGGCTGATGGTACAAAGAGATATGCAGCCTAGCCCAGCTGAGCCCACCTTAAAGGCATTCAGTTACCTAACTGAGTCCGTTAGTTACCATCAGTGTTCTGTAGAATGCGTTCCACCAGAACGGGGTACTTTGTGAGCTGCTGAGACACCAACAGAATACATTCTGGGACTCCTAACCGCCGCACAATGGACAACCGACCGATTTTCGTAATCAAGTTCTGGAACTTCTTGTTGTTCTGTAGCTGTTCTTTGTAGAAGCTGACAGCATCTGTGTGGTGACTGCAGAACACTCCATAGCTCTCCTTCATCCTCTCTCCCATCTCACCTGAAAACTACACCACAACATCATCATCATCATCATCATGATCAGGTAAACAACAACAAACAAGCAAACATTCTGATCAGGTATGACTCAATGTATGACAAAGGGATAGTACAGAGTCATGATTTCTTTAGAATGTTTTCTCAGAATCAGAGAGAGAGAGAGAGAGAGAGAGAGAGAGAGGGGGGCTACCTGGTTGATTAGTATATCTCCCAGCTGTGTGACTGTGTAATGGTTCCTACCTGTTTGTGTTACAGTGTAATGGTTCCTACCTGTCTGTTTCAATGACTCATGGTCAAAAGTTGAGAATAATAATAATAATAATAATAATAATAATAATAATAATAATAAGCCATTTAGCAGACGCTTCTATCCAATCGACTTACAGTCATGTGTGCATACATATTTACGTATGGGTGGTCCCGGGGATCGAACCCACTACCCTGGTGTTACAAGCACCATACTCTACCAATTGAGCTACAGAGGACCACAATGACACAAGTATTGGTCTTCACAAAGTTCGCTGCTTCAGTGTTATGAGATATTTTTGTCAGATGTTACTATGGTATACTGAAGTATAATTACTAGCATTCCATAAGTGTCAAAGGTTTTTATTGATAATTACATTAAGTTTATGCAAAGAGTCAATATTTGCAGTGTTGACCCTTCTTTTTCAAGACCTCTGCAATCGGCCCTGGCATGCTGTCAATTAACTTCTGGGCCACATCCTAACTGATGGCAGCCCATTCTTGCATAATCAATGCTTGGAGTTTGTCAGAATTTGTGGATTTTTGTTTGTCCACCCGCTTCTTGAGGATCGACCACAAGTTCTCAATGGGATTAAGGTCTAGGGAGTTTCCTGGCCATGGACCCAAAATGTCGATGTTTTGTTCTCCGAGCCACTTAGTTATCACTTTTGCCTTATGGCAAGGTGCTCCATCATGCTGGAAAAGGCATTGGTCGTCACCAAACTGTTCTTGGATGGTTGGGAGAAGTTGCTCTCGGAGGATGTGTTGGTACCATTCTTTATTCATGGCTGTGTTCTTAGGCAAATTGTGAGTGAGCCTACTCCCTTGGCTGAGAAGCAACCCCACACATGAATGGTCTCAGGATGCTTTACTGTTGGCATGACACAGGACTGATGGTAGCGCTCACCTTGTCTTCTTCGGACAAGGTGTTTTCCGGATGCCCCAAACAATCGGAAAGGGGATTCATCAGAGAAAATGACTTTACCCCAGTCCTCAGCAGTCCAATCCCTGTACCTTTTGCAGAATATCAGTCTGTCCCTGATGTTTTTCCTGGAGAGAAGTGGCTTCTTTGCTGCCCTTCTTGACACCAGGCCATCCTCCACGTGTCTTTGCCTCACTGTGCGTGCAGATGCACTCACACCTGCCTGCTGCCATTCCTGAGCAAGCTCTGCACTGGTGGTGCCCCGATTCCGCAGCTGAATCAACTTTAGGAGACGGTCCTGGCGTTTGCTGGACTTTCTTGGGTGCCCTGACGCCTTCTTCACAACAATTGAACCTCTCTCCTTGAAGTTCTTGATGATCCGATAAATGTTTGATTTAGGTGCAATCTTACTAGCAGCAATATCCTTGCCTGTGAAGTCCTTTTTGTGCAAAGCAATGATGACGGCACATGTTTCCTTGCAGGTAACCATGATTAACAGAGGAAGAACAATGATTTCAAGCACCACCCTCCTTTTAAAGCTTCCAGTCTGTTATCCGAACTCAATCAGCATGACAGAGTGATCTCCAGCCTTGTCAACACTCTCACCTGCGTTAACGAGAGAATCACTGACATGATGGCAGCTGGTCCTTTTGTGGTAGGGCTGAAATGCAGTGGAAATGTTTTTTGGGGGATTAAGTTCATTTTCATGGCAATTAATTGCAATTCATCTGATCACTCTTAATGACATTCTGGAGTATATGCAAATTGCCATCATCAAAACTGAGGCAGCAGACTGTGAAAATTAGTATGTGTCATTCTCAAAACTTTTGACCACGACTGTATATATGAATGGACAAATCCATCAATCACGTGACACCATTCATTCCTATGTGAAGACTCAATAGTGCATTGAAGCCAAATGAAGTCGGTTAAGATGGCGTCTCATGGAGAAAATATGCGTAGTTTGAGCTACTCCAGGAAGTGAAGTTGAAGGCTAGCTCAGTGCTGCACCCTCTCATTCATTAACTCAAGTTGAAGGCTGACCTGGGTACTGCAGGCAGCCATTAGCAACTAAATTATCCTCATAACTTCTTCGTGCGATTTTATAATAATCGGTTCAAGGATAAACATCTGGTGTATTAGAAGCAATTATTGGTAACTTGATTGTCTTCGATATTTACACAAAGATTGCCATTTTTTCCATTCCTAAAATGGGGGATCCTGTTTTCTGCTAACAATGCCTGCAGTACCGCGGTCGGCCTTCAACTTCCGTGGCTTCAATGAGAGTGGGCAGTCGTTTTCCCCTGGTCTGTGTGACAGTGTAGTGGTTCCTACCTGTCTGTGTAACAGTGTAATGGTTCCTACCTGGTTGATGAGTATAGCTCCCAGCTGTGTGACTGTGTAGTGATTCTGTCCGTCGCGGCAGTCTCTAAGACACCACAGGAAGTGTTGGTGGATGTGCAGCAGGCTGTCCATCTGATGGAAGAGTAAAGGAAACGATTACTGCACATGCAATACACACCTATTGGTTTTAAGCAAGAGATGGAGTCACCGGATGGGAACATCCTGTCCAGCTTATGCTCCTCCATCTGCAGGCTCTGTCTCAGATCTCTCTCGCTCCATATGTACGTGTGTGTTACCTGAGGGAACATCCTGTCCAGCTTATGCTCCTCCATCTGTAGGCTGCGTCTCAGCTCATACTTGTACACACTCAGCAGCAGCTTCAAGGTCTGCAGGTGGTACACCTCCATCTGGATCAACTCTGACACACACACACACACACACACACAAATACAGCATCATCATTATTACTGTTGTAAAGAAGTCATCAACAACATAATTGTAGCAATGGCTAATATCATCATCACCCAAACCAGTTCTTTAATGATAAGATCAGCTACCCCAGCTATATTCTTACCGTAGATGACATCTTGTCTCTTTATAGCGTCTTTGTGTAGTCTCTTTATGTACTGCTGGTCCACAGAGACACTCCAGGACTCTCCCTCCAGGTCCTGAGCATCAGCCTCCAGCTCCGCTCGCAGGGCACTGTAGTGGCCATCTACACACACAATAACACACACACAGCTTAATGGGCATCTAGACACACACAACACAGAGTGTCACAATAACACACAACAAACATAAGACAGGTACAATAACACATACAGGACTAACTACTGTAGTGATCATGTACCTTCTAAGTTGATGATGTCGGTGCTGGACGAGGAAAGGGACACAGAGTCCTCAGGAGGAGGGGGTCGAGGAGAGAGTCCTCTGAGAGCATCCAGGTCATCCATGTGTTATGTCAGGGTTAAAGGTCAGGATGATGGGGCCGAGGCCATGGAAGGCTGGGGGATGGAACCTGTGTACAGGACTGCTGGATGGAGAGAGGAGATAGATTGCATTTTTATTACGTTGTGTTTTCTTATTTATTTGCTAATTTGTAAAGCTAATGAGAAAAACCTGGCCAGGTCACAATACGAAAAACCTGGCCAGGTCACAATACCGCATACGATACTGGCAGTCTGGTTTGATGTAAAGACAGTGTTTTGTTTGTTGTGGCCTACTGTAATTTGAGATGTTTAGACTGATTTTAGATTAGATACACTCACAAAAAATATGTGGACACCCCTTCAAATTATTGGATTCGGCTATTTCAGCCACACCCGTTGCTGACAGGTGTATAGAATCGAGCACACAGCCATGCCATCTCCATAGACAAACATTGGCAGTAGAATGGCCCGTACTGAAGAGCTCAGTGACTTTCAACGTGGCACTGTCATAGGATGCCACCTTTCCAACAAGACAGTTCGTCAAATTTCTGTCCTGCTAGAGCTGCCCCGGTCAACTGTAAGTGTTGTTATTTTGAAGTGGAAACATCTAAATCAAATCGTATTTGCCACATGCGCCGAATACAACAGGTGTAGACATTACAGTGAAATGCTTACTTACAGCCCTTAACCAACAATGCATGTATTTCTTAATAAAAAAGTAAAATAAAACAACAACAAAAAAGTGTAAAAGTAAAATAAAATAACAGTAGGGAGGCTATATATACAGGGGGATACCGGTGCAGAGTCAATGTGCGGGGGCACCGGCTAGTTGAGGTAGTTGAGGTAATATGTACATGTGGGTAGAGTTAAAGTGACTATGCATAAATAATTAACAGAGTAGCGCAGCGTAAAAAGATGGGGTGGGGGTGCAAATAGTCCGGGTAGCCATGATTAGCTGTTCAGGAGTCTTATGGCTTGGGGGTAGAAGCTGTTGAGAAGCCTTTTGGACCTAGACTTGGCGCTCCGGTACCGCTTGCCATGCGGTAGCAGAGAGAACAGTCTATGACTAGGGTGGCTGGAGTCTTTGACAATTTTGAGGGCCTTCCTCTGACACCGCCTGGTATTGAGGATCTGAGGACCCATGCCAAATCTTTTCAGTCTCCTGAGGGGGAAATAGGCTTTGTCATGCCCTCTTCACGACTGTCTTGCTGTGTTTGGACTATGATAGTTCGTTGGTGATGTGGACACCAAGGAACTTGAAGCACTCAACCTGTTCCACTACAGCCCCGTCGATGAGAATGGGGGCGTGCTCAGTCCTCTTTTTTTTCCTGTAGTCCACAATCATCTCCTTTGTCTTGGTCACGTTGAGGGAGAGGTTGTAATCCTGGCACCACACGGCCAGGTCTCTGGCCTCCTCCCTATAGGCTGTCTGATCGTTGTTGGTGATTAGGCCTACCACTGTTGTGTCGTCAGCAAACTTAATGGTGGTGTTGGAGTCGTGCCTGGCCATGCAGTCATGGGTGAACAGGGAGTACAGGAGGGGACTGAGCATGCACCCCTGATGGGCCCCCGTGTTGAGGATCAGCGTGGCAGATGTGTTATTACCTACCATTACCACCTGGGGGCGGCCCGTCAGGAAGTCCAGGATCCAGTTACAGAGGGAGGTGTTTAGTCCCAGGATCCTTAGCTTAGTGATGAGCTTTGAGGGTGATGAGCTAGGAGCAACAACGGAAATATCTAGGAGCAACAATGGCTCAGCCGCAAAGTGGTAGGCCACACAAGCTCACAGAACGGGACCACCGAGTGCTGAAGCGCGTAGCGTTTAAAAATCGTCTGTCCTCGGTTGCAACACTCAGTACTGAGTTCCAAACTGACCCTGGAAGCAACGTCAGCACAATAACTGTTCGTCGGGAGCTTCATGAAATGGGTTTCCATGGCCGAGCAGCCGCACACAAGCCTAAGCTCACCATGTGCAATGCCAAGCGTCGGATGGAGTGGTGTAAAGCTCGCCGCCATTTAACTCCGGAGCAGTGGAAACACGTTCTCTGGAGTGATGAATCACGCTTCACCATCTGGAAGTCCGACGGACGAATCTAGGTTTGGCGGATGCCAGGAGAACACTACCTGCCCGAATGCATAGTGCCAACTGTAAAGTTTGGTGGAGGAGGAATAATGGTCTGGGGCTGTTTTTCATGGTTCGGGCTAGGCCCCTTAGTTTCAGTGAAGGGAAATCTTAAGGCTACAGCATACAATGACATTCTAAACGATTTCTACTGTTGATTCCTTGAAATGATCAAAAGCCTGTATAGAAAATACTCCAGACAGGAAGAGAGGATTAGATGGTGTTGAATCCTGACAAATACTATTTTCTATTACAGAACAGAAACAAAGCCATTGGTGTGGGTGGAAAGGAAAGAAAACTGGTTTGACACAGTTACAGCGTCACAGCCCTAGTCAGACCAGCTCACTGACAACACACATGGCAGGGGAGAGAGAGAGAGAGAGAGAGAGAGAGAGAGAGAGAGAGAGAGAGAGAGAGAGAGAGAGAGAGAGAGAGAATACACACAAGACAGCAGGGGGCAATTCCATGGTAACGAAATTGCGCCGAGACTCTGATTTTTTAACTTAAAAGTATGCCAAACAAAAAACATTGATTTCAAAGTTTAACAACCCATACAACTCTATGCACAAGGTCTACTTTTAACAATTTACACTGAATGTCGGTAAAATCTCCCTCAGTTTCTTGTGTCCACGTTTTCCAAATTACGATTCAACGACATCTGCAGAAAGAATGGGGTATTAGCTATGGCATGACACATTGACTCTTTTGGTTATTGAACTAGAGTAAGTGAAGTGGATTCTCACCCAGTAACGGAATTGCGGTAATCGAATCTGAAGTAATCATAGATGTCTATGTTTCACAAGTTTGGACATCAAAGTACAGCACAGTAGAGTTCAGTACAGTACAGTAGAGCTCAGTAGAGTACAGCACAGTAGAGTTCAGTACAGTACAGTAGAGTATAGTTCAGTACATTATACTGTACTCTACTGTACAGTACTGAACTATACTCTACTTTTCTTTACTGTACTCCACTGTACAAACGTGTGAACACAACTGTTGATTGTGACTACTATGATTTCCCATTGTAGCCGATTCAATTGTAGAAATTCCATTACCGATTTGGCAACGGAATTGAGTTTTAATCACTTAATAATACATAAAATGTATATCAGTAAAAACACTAATTGATAGGTCTACCTTTACTTGATACTTCTGTGTACGTTCATTATCCTCCCTCCTCATGAGGGAGAGAAATTAAGTTACGTTTTTTTGTTAACGGAATTTCAAGGTACAAGGCAATGTTACAGGAGGCAAATAATTTCTCCAAAACTAAATATAAGTGTTGATATAAGTTGGCAGGGGTCTTTACTTCAACATTATTGTGTTTTGATGTATTTTAATACCTTTTAAGACTTTCTCTGGTAGATGTTTTCTAAAAACCCTTTTCTATCTGTTTGACCAGAAATCAATGCCTTTGCTTATTCAAAATTTTTTGGGATGGATGTTTTATTTATTTATGTATATATGCCTTAATTTGTAAAAAATATATAGTCTCTAAGCTTTAATTTGAGACCCAATTTGACATGCTCCTACGAACTTGATTGATGTTAATTAGCATCATAGCATAGGCCTAACTGTCACAGTTGTGAACTGTCCCTGTCAACTAAATTGCATTGAAATAAAATCTTAATGAAGCCTTCATAGATCCTTTATAAGGCATACATAGATGAATTAAAAAAACATTCATAAGCATGTGTCATGCTAAAAAGGATGGAGAGATGGTTATGTCACATGTAAAATGACAGTACACCATCAGTATGGATGGACCTCAGAGCATGTTGGACTTATTTGCCCAACCACAGTAGCTCATAGATCTCTCTCTACTGGGTGGACACATACACACACATGGCAGTGACAGCCAAAACATATAGACAGGAGTGTGTGCCATGGAGAAAACTAATCCACTGGCTGCGTGTGTGTGTGTTTCGTTCACACAGCTGGGTACTAAAGACACAGTTCACACACCCTTCTCCGTCTCTACAGCCTCTGGCTCATCTGTTAAGTAGACAGACAGACACAGACAGACATACATACAGACAGAGCTTCCTCCTACAGTACACCACACACAAAGAGTCAAGAAGAGGCACCCTATTCCCTACATGGTGCACTACTTTTGACAAGGGCCCATAAAGGTAGTGCACTACATTTGGAATAGGAATTAAAGTTCTACAGTCCAGTACTGACCTGGGAGGAAAGGGTAGGAGGTGTGAAGCGTGAAATACAGGTCAGCCCCTGTGTGTTAGAACAAGAACTAGACTAGAAAGACAGCCAAGTATCCCGGCAGGTGAACGCAGTGTCAGTAAAGAAACGCTTTCTCAACTTTCAATGCATTTTACCAGAAAAATTTGATCATGCAATATAAAAAAAAGGTGAGTAAATGGCATTTATACTCCACTACAACACTGACTGCCTGTAAAACATTACACACCTATGTGAGAATGCTATTAATTGACTACAGCTCAGCATTCAACACCATAGTGCTCTCAAAGCTCATCACTAAGCTAAGGACCCTGGGACTAAACACCTCCCTCTGCAACTGGATCCTGGACTTCCTGACGGGCCGCTCCGATGTGGTAAGGGTAGGTAACAACACATCTGCCACGCTGATCCTCAACACAGGGGCCCCTCAGGGGTGCGTGCTTAGTCCCCTCCTGTACTCCCTTTTCACCCATGACTGCGTTGCCAGGCACGACTCCAACACCATCATTAAGTTTGCCGACGACACAACAGTGGGAGGCCTGATCACCGACAATGATGAGACAGCCTATAGGGAGGAGATCAGAGACCTGGCCGTGTGGTGCCAGGACAACAACCACTCCCTCAACGTGCTCAAGACAAAGGAGATGATTGTGGACTACAGGAAAAAAAAGAAGACTGATCACGCCACCATTCTCATCGACAG